AATAGGGGCAATTAGCTTGAGAGCAACATGGACCTGCAAAAGTATCACTTAGCAAAATATAGCTGCCCTAGCAAAATATAAATATACATAAAGAACTAAAAACAACAGGAATATCATATATGGTTCAAAAACGAGACAAAAAATGCAAATGATTTTTGGAAGTGCAAACCTTTCCTGTTCCAGGTGGACCAAATAGTAATATGCCTTTCCAAGGTGATAATAGACCAGTGAAGTATCTGGGATTGAAACACAAGAAGCAAGTAATTAGTCAGCAGAGACGAAAGTATCCAACTGGACAACGCATGATTGAAAAAAGTTGAGTGTACAAAAGAAATCCTTAAGACCTTGACTAATACAAATTTTACATCTGTCCTTTAGACCTTCTTTGCAATAAAGACTCCTTTCAAAATCAGTCAGAGTGAATATTACTGTTGGATGGTTAAAACAGGTACCCTATAAAATATGAATGTAGCTTCCAGTAATAAAAATGTTGAAGTAGGTAAATAACTAACTAATTACCTAACTGCAAAACAATGGTTGATAGAGTTCGCCTTTTAAATCAATAGAAATGGAAGCCAATGTGAAAAGCCATGCATCACAAATTGATTAAACAAACCCTGTACGTCATCCGTATCATAAACGTATACAGATACAAATAACATGTAAAGAATATGTTAAGAAAGTATCTATAAACATGTGTTTTCTTTAACTTTGCTGCTAAAGTTATTAAAACAATGTTCAAATGAAAAAACATCTAATTGGTACTGCAAGATCTATAAGTCTTTAATTTTATTAAAGATTTTCTAGGTTGTACACATATAACATACAATATATTTCACTGAGAAGTAAGCCTACTTGGGATATTTAATGGGCATGACAACTGCTTCTTTGAGAAGACGCTTTGCATTCTCCAGACCTTTTATGCTTTCCCATTTAACATCTGGACTCCCACGAATTATATCCCTGTAGGCATTGGACAAGGAAGCTATAGTAACAACAGTCCAAAATAAATTAGTGCCGCATGAGTGATGTCATGCACAGATTTTTGAAAGATTTACCTCAACAATGACTCAGCTAAGTTGCGCGTTTCTGCAGATTCAAATGAAGGAAGTAAAGGTTTCTGCCTGCAACCACCATAACCTGTTACCACAGCTCCATAAAAGGGAAAATACATTTGCATGGCAAGTGAAATACATGGCCTTGGAAGGTTATGTTTCCCAAAGAAAATAATACAGCAATGCTTAAAAATTAACGATTGGATCCAGATTTTTTCGAGAACGTGCTTGAGCACGTATATTTGAAGTCCAAAATCAGACACTAGATTGCATCAGGTTTCATCATGTAAGCCACATGGAGCATGCTGGTCGACATGCAGAGCATAAAAGTCTAGGACGAGTTCGTTCCTCTGAAAACCACCGGATGGTCCGATTTCTTTCAATGCGGCACCATTCCATTCCGGATCGATTCGATCTCCAGACCAAACACGCCCTGGCTTGTTTTGTTAGTGACATAGAAAAGCTGCATGGCCAGGCAGACCTCCCGGGGCAAGTTTTGTTGTCTGGCTAGGCAAGGGCTGGACAGGTCTTAAAACAAACAGAATATTGCCCCTCCTTCCATGGCTACCAATTTGTAGGAGGAGCTTAGGAGGGGCTCCATGCATAAGTAGCAGTAGCGGAGCTAGCTCAAGCTCACCACACCTCAGTGCTAGATCCACGTCTGTGGTCAAGGTCTAATTAATCATGGCGGCCTCTAGCTCAAGCTCACCACACCTCAGTGCTAAATCTGGTCAAGGTCTAATTAATCATGGCAGCGTAGTTAGATATCATGACCAACAAGCCGATCTAAACTAAGGGCATGTTTAGATATTAGTAATAATGGATCCAAACGGACCTACTAATAATCTGCTAATTATTAGCTGCAGGGTTGCTAGCTATTAGTTTTATTAGCAGATTTATAGTTGCTAATAAGTGCTAATAGTTTATATGTACCTTCAATCCACTATCAACCATCTCTCTAAAAAAATCTATTAGCAGCTATTAGCAGGTGGATTCAAACACTCTTCCACTAAAAAATAGCTAATAAATCCAAACAGTCCCTAACAATAGTATAGGACGTTAACGTTAAAATATATATAAAAAAAGGTACGACTGAACCTTTAGAATCACGAAAGACATCGCTCTCTCTTTATCAAATAGGGAATTATGGTCACTTATAATAGTTGAAGTAATTCACCCTGTATATGGTCCGGTTAAACCGGTTTGTGGTTAAAACCCAGTCCAATCCGTGAAAGAGGCTATGCTTCCGGTTTGGTACCCGTGGCAGAAAAAAAATACCCACCTTCCCCTCGTGACTCCATCCCAATCGCCCGCTCCCGCACAGTCCGCCGCCGCCGTTGAGCTCAGCTTCAGCAATGGCGTGGTCCGCACGCTCCGTGGCCAATTCCTTCCTTGCCATGGGCCGTCTGCACCAAGTCTGCGGCGTTCGCCTCTGGGCCGTCCGCACACAGTCCGCGGCTCTGCGCCAGCGGCAGCGACGGCGCTTACACAAGACGACTTGGAGAGAGGCTTGCAGCGGTGCGCTACGTTGAGCAGGTGCAGGCCTAGATGGTGCTTGGTCTTGAGACGAGGTGCACGGTTGCCCTCCCGTCGCCGAGATCGGCGTGCTCCCTGACCCATAGTTACAAAGTTTTGGGGTCGATGAGGTGGAGGTACGGGGTCACGGAACTTAGTACGCTACTTGCGAGAGATTTTTACGCTTCGGGTCGAAGATAAACCCGTGGACCCGGTCGGGGTCGACGAATCTGGGTCGATGGTCAAAGGTGGTGAACCTGTTTTATGTGACTATGCCCTGGCCACCTGGGCATGGATCTCGCCGAGATCTCTGTGGCAGCGGCGCCATGTCCTCGACCACAACGCAGGTCGCTCCCGGCGGCTGGGGCTCGGTGGTAAGTCGCCGGAGTGCGAAGAAGGAAGCGGCCGCGGCCAAGATGCAAAAGAGAGCAACGCAGTAGCACGGCCGGCCACACCTCGCCTGCCCGACGGGTTGAGCGGTCTGGAACCCGATGCAGACCACCGATGCAGACCAGCTTGGATGTGCCCTCCAAGTACGGGTTACCATGGGGTCGGTTTACGGGTTGGTCCGGTCTCCAGACCATGTATAGGGTTAGAAGTAATTAATCAAGGCGGCGCGGTCAGATGTCACAGCCAATAAGCCGATCTGAACTAACAACAGTGTCATGTGGGATACTAACGTTGAAATAGATATGAAAAAGGTATGATTGAACTTTTAGAATCACGAAAGACATCGTTGTCTCTTTGATATCAAATAGGGAATTGTGGCCACTTATAATAGTTAAAGTAACAACCGTGGCTCCATTCGCTGCAAATGATGTTTCTTCAGTAACATGTGAGAGGAAGCTGTAAAAAATTCCTTTCGAACGGACCTATGGAACACAAGTTAAGATAGATACAAAAAAAAGTACAATTAAACTTCTAGAATCACAAAAGAGAAAACACACCGCGCGCTCTCTCTCTCTCTCTCTTGGTATCAAAACAGGAAATTGTCTCGTAGTGCTCAAGAGCAGTATTCTCTATTCTGCGCTACTGTAGAAATAACAGGACAAACGGTAGGTGACGACTCTTGTCATGGACGCCTTCATCTCATATCGATTGTTCGTGGACATGTCGACCGTCGATATATCTGTGTTAGTGTGATCACTGTCGCAGTGTCACTATTCATGATAAAGATGTTTGATAGGTTTGGCTCCTGCATCAATTCCGTTGTCTACTCATGGTGGCCTAGGTGCCGTCTTCACTGGCCCTGTTTTGATGTGAGTTTTGTGACGCGTGGTGCGGTAGCAGGAATCATAGGATCTATTGGTTGGTGCCATATTTTATCCCTTCGCAGCAAACTATGGCTACGATATAAAAATTGATGAGTAAAATTGAAGCTACACTTATGGTAAAGTTTGATAAGAAAATAAGTTTATGACGCGTGGAACATGGTGTTAAGAAAGTATGGCACATCGTATGTGTGGCAATGAACAAAACAACTAAAAAACCTAGGCATAACTAACCTGTGGCATTATGGTCACGAACCAAACAGATCCATAGATTTCTCTGTGATATTATATCGTTGTTTCTAGTTCAATCAGCACCTTTGTGTGGAAGCGGTGGCAAAAAAAATGTATGTATCGCGAACCGTTTGACAGAATTGTCTTGATGAGCCAAAGCTATAATCCAATTTTAGAATTTGTTTGGAACATAAAAATTTCACAGTAATTACATAAGAATTTTATAGAAATCAACTCAATTTTATAGAAAACTACATGAACATGAAAAAATTTCCATGCTCAGTACACGATCTTGCTCTTGTTCGCTTCGCTGAAAGGTATTTTAGTTGATTTAACAATATATGCGAAAAAGGGCCAATCGCATCTAAACAAAAGCACGGTTGCTGAGGCATCATCGGGTCAGACCTAAATGGACGCCTACATTCAGTCTGTTCAGCTAGACTTACTATACATATATAATTATAAATTATAAACTAAAATAGTATTTTTCTCTCCCACCGAACCTACCAACCGTCAGCGGTGGCTGACAACGCACACGAAATCTGCAGTCAGCGAGTCCGCGGTGAAAAGCGGGCCGTCCTAAAAACCTACAGCTCTTGCACAAATTCCCACTGGCAGATGGGCCAGAACCACGAATTCGCGCTCTGGCCGCCCACTGTCAGTGAGAGCGGCGCGGTCACAGAGAAACCGAGCCCCGTCCTCCCGGGGAAAGACCAGCGCAGCAGCGCAGATTCCATCGACGCCCCGCTGTCCCGGCCGCTTGTTTATTCTTCCGTCAGCCCCACCGCACCCGGCGCCTCCACGGCTCCACCCAGCTGCTGCTTCCGGAGAGCTCGCGTCGCGCGTGCGTGCGTGCGTGGGTGCGCGCGGCGGCGAAGCAGCAGTACCGCACCGCCCTTCTTCCCCCACGCGTTGCGCGCGCGTCTCGATGGCCGACGGCGAGCCTTCCCTCACCCGCTGGAGCTTCGAGGTGACTGGCTGGCTGACCTCTGCCTCTGCGTGCGCTCTCCCTTTACTCCTCCCCCCTCGCGTCAGTACCGCTCCTTCCCCCAGCATGTGCCTGAGATCTCGTGGCGCGATCGGTTGGCCTGCCCCCCGCAGGATTTCGTGGTGTACTACGAGACGCGCCTCGGCATCCGGCGCGAGGCCACCGGCGATGATGGCGACGACCGCGACGAGGGCCCAACGCCGCGCGGCGGATCCGACCATGCGGCCAGCCACCGCCCCGCCGCTGCCCGCGCCAACGGCGGCGCGGACCTCGCCGTCTTCGAGCAGTTCGAGCGGATGGTGCGTTGGGTCATCTGTGCCTGGTGTCTTCGGATACCGTCGCTGAGCTGTTGTTGCATTGGTTGGTGATGGTTTTAGTTTGCCGTCTTGGAGAATCATGCAATTATTTGCTTCCCCTGGTTTTGGTTCGCAGGAGAGGAAGGTGGAGATACGCAATGGGGCTATAGAGGATGGTCCACCGTAAGACCTGCTGCTCTGCTTACTTGGGTGTACATCAGAAAGAGTTTGACTACACAAATTTTTTTTATGTGAACCACTGAAATGACGCTCTAAAGTTAGCTAATTCCATCTGTTACTCTGTTCATCAATTAGTAACTACTAGTTAGTGTGGCCAAATTTACTTGAAACTGCACTGTAGTGTTTGTTTGAAAGCCTTCATTCTACCTCCATTGACTGAATTCCAGAAATAGCAGGTTTCTATTAAGAGTGTAAGATAGAGATGCTCCTAGACTTTTATGCTCTGCATGTTGACCAGCATGCTCCATGTGGCTTACATGATGAAACCTGATGCAATCTTGTGCCTGATTTTGGACTTCAAATATACGTGCTCAAGCACTTTCTCGAAAAATTCTGGATCCAATCGTTAATTTTTAAGCATTGCTGTATTATTTTCTTTGGGAAACATAACCTTCCAAGACCATGTATTTCACTTGCCATGCAAATGTATTTTCCCTTTTATGGACCTGTGGTAACAGGTTATGGTGGTTGCAGGCAGAAACCTCTACTTCCTTCATTTGAATCTGCAGAAACGCGCAACTTAGCTGAGTCATTGTTGAGGTAAATCTTTCAAAAATCTGTGCATGACATCACTCATGCGGCACTAATTTATTTTGGACTGTTGTTACTATAGCTTCCTTGTCCAATGCCTACAGGGATATAATTCGTGGGAGTCCAGATGTTAAATGGGAAAGCATAAAAGGTCTGGAGAATGCAAAGCGTCTTCTCAAAGAAGCAGTTGTCATGCCCATTAAATATCCCAAGTAGGCTTACTTCTCAGTGAAATATATTGTATGTTATATGTGTACAACCTAGAAAATCTTTAATAAAATTAAAGACTTATAGATCTTGCAGTACCAATTAGATGTTTTTTCATTTGAACATTGTTTTAATAACTTTAGCAGCAAAGTTAAAGAAAACACATGTTTATAGATACTTTCTTAACATATTCTTTACATGTTATTTGTATCTGTATACGTTTATGATACGGATGACGTACAAGGTTTGTTTAATCAATTTGTGACGCATGGCTTTTCACATTGGCTTCCATTTCTATTGATTTAAAAGGCGAACTCTATCAACCATTGTTTTGCAGTTAGGTAATTAGTTAGTTATTTACCTACTTCAACATTTTTATTACTGGAAGCTACATTCGTATTTTATAGAGTACCTGTTTTAACCATCCAACAGTAATATTCACTCTGACTGATTTTGAAAGGAGTCTTTATTGCAAAGAAGGTCTAAAGGACAGATGTAAAATTTGTATTAGTCAAGGTCTTAAGGATTTCTTTTGTACACTCAACTTTTTTCAATCATGCGTTGTCCAGTTGGATACTTTCGTCTCTGCTGACTAATTACTTCTAACTTGTGTTTCAATCCCAGATACTTCACTGGTCTATTATCACCTTGGAAAGGCATATTACTATTTGGTCCACCTGGAACAGGAAAGGTTTGCACTTCCAAAAATCATTTGCATTTTTTGTCTCGTTTTTGAACCATATATGATATTCCTGTTGTTTTTAGTTCTTTATGTATATTTATATTTTGCTAGGGCAGCTATATTTTGCGATATTTTGCTAAGTGATACTTTTGCAGGTCCACGTTGCTCTCAAGCTAATTCCCCCTATTTAAAACAAATAATACTATTGACTTTTCATCATGGAACTTTAGTAGTTGTGCAAATAATCCAAATATCTGGCATGGTATAATTGAATTACCAATTTACAGCATTTCGTTGGAGTGTACTTGTTACTCTTTCTTTAATGAAATGATTTGCAGCTGTCCTCTATTCGAGAAAAGAACAGTTCTTTGGAATGTTCTACTCTCTACTGCGGTTTGGCTAAGCATATAACTATCAAAGATAATAGAGAATTGGCTGCTCTATTTTGGTGTCTAAGGATCAAGCTCCGTAACACGTGGAATTGTTACCTGAAAAAGTTGCAGTTGATCTGTTTCTTTTCTCAGTATTTCTTTTGTCTTTAATTATACTGAATCATTAAAAAAAGGATAATGTCACTTGTTAACATCAATAGTCAATACTGGTTTGTTTTGCTTGTTTCCTCATATCCTGCATATTTCTGCCAGTATGTATGGCTGTTAGTTGTGATGCTATATCCAGGCTCTGCCAATTGCCGATCATCTTCGAGTGCAACTGTTATAACCTCAGCATGTTTCATTTCAGACAATGCTAGCCAAAGCTGTGGCTACCGAGTGCAAAACGACCTTTTTCAATATTTCTGCCTCATCAATTGTGAGCAAGTGGCGTGGTATGTCACTGTCTTCTATGTGTTTCTTGACATGTTTTTGCTGGTTCATGAGCATGCATCAATTTATATGTTCCATATTGGCAGTATGAGCTAATGCATTTCTTTTATTGCTCCATTTATTGCTGCAAATTTGCTATAAGATGTAATATTTTTGCCTGCTCTATAGAGATTTCCTTGATAGAAGTATTTAGGTCTGCTCAAAGCTACATAACTGTGGAAATTTGATCCTTCCACGAAATTTAACACTTGTTCTGTGCATAACTACGGAGCTTAAAGATGAACATAAATTGTAACTGGACTCAGTTCGCCTCAACATTACTTCAATATGCAACCAAGGGGGACCAGAAGATGGATGACTCTTGCTATGTTTCCCTTTCTATCTTGTTTGTATATTCCCCAGCCGCATACATGCAATGCAGCAAGGCTTAGGGCCTCCTATGCTGCCCACTTGAGAGCTGTTCATTGTTATCATAGTGTAACTTCTCAAAGCTGCTGACCTGTAGCTCTTTGCCTTCAAATAATCATGTTATGTTCCCTGGCATGTATTTACATCATCTTCTGCTACCCATTGTTATCTCTTTTGTAGACATTGTTGTCACAAACTTCATAGTTGCATCACAATCTACCATTCTAGTATCCCCTGAACCTCTGGTGTTAACACTACCTGCCATATAGCTGATGGCCAACTGCTTACTAATTGATTGCATGAAGTGCAGATGGCCTAGTGCTTACTAATTGATTGCATGAAGTGCAGCACACACACTCCTTAATCTTCATGATATGATTACTTTATGCTTTCTATGTGGGGTGTGTTTGCTTCTACTTAAAGTGGCTGTACTAGTTTTGGAAACAGTATTCATCATTTTACAAGCTGCAGCCGCAGCCGCAGCCGCAGCACAACTAACTTGTACAACAAAATATATAATTGAACTTTTGCATCTAGAGCAAACTTGTAGCCTCGAATACATGTAGCCTTATTGCACACAGTGTTCATTCCTGACCTCACTCCCAGAAAGGTTTTGCTTATTCTAATAGTCCGAGTGATGCAGGTGACTCGGAGAAACTAGTGAAAGTGTTATTCGAGCTTGCAAGGCATCATGCACCATCTACCATTTTCCTTGACGAGATTGATGCTATCATTAGTCAACGTGGTGAAGCTCGTAGTGAACATGAAGCTAGCCGGCGATTGAAAACTGAGCTATTAATACAGGTAGCTTTCTTGGGTTGTACAAAGCCTGAAGTATAATCAGTTATCTTCCATTGAGAACTTTGAGCTTCTCAACCACAAATTGGTTGCAATCATAACTTTTTGGAAACTACAAAATCTGGGAAATAAGGACATTATACCTAACTACACGGGGATCAGCAAGCATCTCAAGCTTTCCAAACTTGACATGCAGAATATCATTGGCTTTCTTAACTTCTTTGAACTGATCACAAACTAGTCTTCAGTTTTGGGAACAGGCTATTGTCTCTACGGTATTGGTTATTTCATAACATTTTGATTTTGTTGGTGCAGATGGATGGGTTGACTAAGACAGATGAGCTTGTTTTTGTTCTAGCAGCAACAAATTTACCATGGGAGTTGGATGCAGCAATGCTGCGTCGGCTGGAGAAGCGTGTATCCTTTTCTAAAGAATCTTGTGTTTCAAATAGTTGATTTACAAATTTCATACATATTACCACATTTTTCTAAAATTTTCTGAATGTGTGATTTCTATTTGATTTCTTATTTGGTAGTGAACTGCAAGAGTCAGGTGCGGTAGCAAGCCTCATTTTCTTTTCTGTTTTAGAAATCTTGCCTTGTCTGACAAGCCTTCATGGCAGACCATCGTGAACTTTCAGTATACAAACCATTGGCATAATTGTACAGGGCCCTCTTTATCATTTTGTAATCTAAAATCAGCGGTCTGATCTTTACTCCTTTCCAATTATTCAGTTATCTTTACAACTTCCGGCACAAGTGATTCTTTTGGCACCATTCTAAATAATGTTTGGTCAATATCTAGAAAATTTATAGCACTCAGCAGCCTCCAGAATGCTTATGTCAAAGTTCAAGTTGCATGAGAATGCATTAGTGTGGTGGTTGGGCACCCAGTTGGGGCGCCAGCCAACCAGGGCTAGAACCCAAGGTGTCACCAAAAAGGGCCCTTCGCTGTGTAACTGCTTCCAGAGATATATGTGATTGTGTCCTGGGCAGCCAGCCTTCGGGGCCTTTTTGTCGACCCTGTGGTTGAGGTTTCTCCTTAATGCAGTGCCTCAGGGAGGTCTTTCCCCCAAGGGATTGATTTTTTTTTTAAAAAAAAAAGCTTGTCACATTTTTTTAGAAAAGAGAACATCTCTGTTTTTTTAATCGAAAGCTCAAGTCTCATGACAAATCTGAACGGACTTTTTTTCCCATAACTTGTCAATCAGATTCTTGTTCCATTGCCAGAGCCAGATGCTAGACACGCTATCTTTGAAGAGCTCCTGCCATCTACACCTGGCACAATGGAGATTCCCTATGATGTTCTTGTGGAAAAAACTGAAGGATATTCTGGCTCTGATATTCGCCTTGTATGCAAGGAAGCAGCAATGCAGCCCCTAAGACGGTTAATGTCAGTTCTTGAACGCGGGCAAGAAGAGGTCCCTGAGGATGGTATGTGATTTGTTCGTAACTAGTAATCTCTTCTTTTCAGCAATTCTGTTCTTGTGAACAGGAACAAATGACTACTTGCTACTTTATTGCTCTTTGTTGTCAACTTCTCTTCAATTTCTTGGAAAATCTTACTTGTATGTATGGGTTGCAGTGCTTGCAGAATAGAAAATAAGTAGTGCCACAGATAAAAAAACCAAATTTGTTCTATGATAGTACCTTTCAATGCATGTTAATTAAAAAGGGTTAGTCTTCAGAGCTTTTTCTGTGGGACATGTTGCAGAGTTGCCTGAAGTTGGTCCAGTAACTACAGAAGATATTGAACTTGCTTTGAGGAATACAAGACCGTCTGCTCATCTTCATGCACATAGATATGAAAAGTTCAACCAAGATTATGGCAGTCATGTCCATGTCTAAAGGTGAGCTGTATGACCAAGAGTATCCGTGTCTTTGATTTCTGAGGTGTTCTTTGAACTACTCCCTAAGCATCTGTAACATTCCTTTCAGGGCAGAAGCCTGTTGTAAGGTTTAATTTGTATGCTCATGCGTGGGCCAATAGATCAATACTGAATTCATCGACGTGCTGAGGTATCCTTGTAAACATTATGTTTATCCTTGTATGTTGTACATTATCATTCATTTGATGAGTAATAAGCTCTTTTGGTAGCTCAGTCTCACCTGGATAAGGAGAAACTAGTATTTTCCCTGCATTTGGCTCGATTTATCTATTCCTCTGGTGTCATCTTATGTTTTGTCAGACAGTTTTTGAGTTTCTTCCAGCGAGCAGCGTGAACCTCTGTGTACTTAGAAGAGTCAATCCAATTTGTTTTCGTGACACTGATGTATTTTTAGTAGCACTACCAGAAACCCAGAATAGTGGGTCAGATTTGTAGTTCAGTTTACTTCCGTGCATACACTTTTCTGTTCAGTGCACCAGAAACCCAGTATGACTGTACCTAGTAGTATAGAAAAATGGGCTAATGCATGGTAAATTATGGTTTATTTGCTTTCTAGTCTGGATTGGTCAGCATGTAGTGGCTCACAACCTTCTTCCCATGAAGGTCTGCGCTTCTTTTGCCATTCGTTCTCTTGGTGGGTTTGAGCTTTCAGCTGCACAACATAGACATCATACACAGTGGCGGACCACGCTCAAAGTTATTGGTGGGGCAGACACACAACATAAGGATATAATGGTATAAAAATAGACCACATATGCCATAACGTATTTGAGTATAAATCACAAGAATCAAAAGTACATGCACATTTTAAATGAACGACATATCTAAAAGGTACATACACATTTTACATGCAAAAAGCGTGGGTAACTTTTTTTTTCATGGTAACATTTGGGTCTTTTTACTTGAAAATAACCTTCGCATTTTTTTTTGTCTATTCATTGACTGTAGTTGTCCTCTCCCCATGAGCTACCTGATCAATCAATTTCTTAGTTCATTCAGAGATCCTGACGAGGCTAAATAAATGTTGCTTTCAATTTTCTCCGTATAAGCTCCATTCCTCGATAAAACCACTGTCCAAGTTTTTCAAATGTTCCATTCCTTGGCTATTTTGTAAATTTAAAAAAAAATATGATCCTATACCTTCTCTTATGGATTCAGTTGGCTCTTTTTTGCCATCAAACATCACCAAATTCATCACGATGCCGCTCATGTGTTGTGAAGCCATTTCTGCCTTTAAGTAGCTGCTAACTGGCCTGTGCCAAAAAAAATGTATGGAACATTCATTGACACCAGTGAGCTGTTGGTCTCATGCCTGCTACTCATGCCACTCTAACACACTGCTATTACCAGTTAGCTGTGGAACACGTTCGTTTTCGCTTGTGACCGCCTCGCATTCCCTCACACGTGAAGCTCCGTTATCCTTTCCTAAGAGCATCAGTGCTATCCAAGATAGGCCCTCTGTCTGGCTTGGTAGCAACACATTCTAATAATATAATATTTATATTTTTTTATGTTTTCTCCAACAATGACATGTGAGACCCATATATCATCCTCTCTCTCTCATGTGGCGCTCGCGCTGCCCCCACTCCCCGACTCATGGCGCGGCCATCGCTCGCCCAGACATGCTGGCGGGGCGGCGTCGGGAGCGCGCCACCACCCGCGCTATGCTGCCTAGTACCGCTGAGGTTGTGCTGGCCCTCCTCTCCATCAGGGTCGCGGGGCATCGTGCTGGCGGTGGGGTGCGGCTATGTGTTGGGCGAGATTGGGCACCGGGAGCCAGAGGGGTAAGAGGCAGCGCCGGGCGGAGAGTAGAGGGGAAGGAGGCGGCGGCGATCAGTTTGGTGCCACCGGATCTGGGTCGGACAGGGAGGAGGTGGCGCCGACGCAGACAGGAGAGGGAGGAGGCGGCGCCAACACGGAGAGAGGCTAGGGGCGTCTGGATCCGACCTCGCAAGACCCGTGGACCGCGGAGGTGGCTGTGTAAGGGGGCACCTAGGTCTAGTCAGTCATCTAGATGATCTAACACGTCTAACACCCAGTTCCAGTTAGTCATCAACCACATTCCGCCTCAAGTGACACCTACACATGAAACAAACATGCAAAACACGTCCGAGCACTGAGTCCATGACTTGGCCCAAGTCGATCCACACAACACCTCACAAGAGCGTTCCATGCAACAACATCAAAACCGATACACTGCCACGAGTGCATCACCTTGCGGTGTCGATTTCATCTCAACCCAATTTTCATGACATGATCTCACACGTTGATGAAGACATTACTGATTTATGAGTAGAACAAGAGAGTACAATGAGTGGGTAGAACCGCAAACTGGCCACGCAATTATTGTGTGGGCACATAACTAGCTGATGTGAGATCTCATCGTGATCTATCTAAAAGGAAAAATTGACATGACAACGAAAGCATACAGTTGCGGCGTACGTGCATGTACCACTAGCCATAAGTGAGAAGCCCTGAGTGGTCGTACCACGGAACTCTCTGCCCTGCTTGGTCGTACCACGGAAGATCGCACTAACGCTGCTCAAAGCAGCTTGGGTCTGGTTTAGATTGCAAATTTTTATAACCTGGATACTGTAGTATGTTTCGTTTGTATTTGACAAACTTTATCCGATTATAGACTAACTAGGCTCAAAAGATCCGTCTCGTGATTTACAACCAAATTGTGTAATTAGTTATTTTTTTACCTATATTTAATGCTCCATGCATGCATTTAAAAATTGATGTGATGGAAAGAGAGTGAAAAAACTTTGAATTTGAAGGTGATCTAAACAAGGCCTTGGTTAAGAAGGTTCGTCGTGATCTAACAACCGTATCGGGCGTCATCGAGTCCCCACATCTACAAAATCCAACTTGGGAAGGCTTTACTCAGAGTTCATTTGATCAGAGGATGAGCTTACTTTATTTGAAGCGAAGCGCAACATGAACTCCTACACCATATGACCCATGTAGGCATACCGCATACGTTGCTCGCAAAACGGTATCCCTTTGATGCGGCGACCAATCTAGCATCGGGTCTGTGCGTCATACGCAGACTCGATCTTCTGGAGCACCCCTGAGACCGTGTGAGACGTCGACGATGACGCGGCGGCAACTTGAACGCGTGTTGATCGACCACTTTGGGCCTTTTGCAACGGTTAACGACGGCCAGGCGGCCATGGCGCCTGGCTGTTGGCGCCTATATAATGCGGCTCAAGCTCTGTGTTGTTCCCACCACCATCACACACGCTCGTGCACAAGCACACGGTTTAATCAGTAGCTTCAGTTCCACGTAAACCCTGAGCAAGTTTTCTTGAACCTATAGCTTGTCAGCTCCCAGCACCGATCGAATGGCGAGGTGCCTCACCTGCAGCGTTGTCCTCATGAGCGCATTGTTGCTGGTGGTCGTTGTGTCCATGTGTGCTCCTGGCGGCGCCGACGCGGCACGGCTGCTGGGAACCGAGGTAGATGCGGCCGTGGCCGTGGCTGTGCCGCCCTTGGCGATGGGCCGCCTGCAGGCTCATGAAGAAATGACGACGACGACGCTGCAGGTGCCGGTGCCGGTGCCGGTGCCAGTGCCAGGTGACGGCGAGGCTGGGGGAGCGTCCAAGAGGCTGAGCCCTGGAGGTCCGGACCCTCAGCATCACTGATCGAATCTCGTGGTCATGTTACCGTTTTGGGTGGCTTCTGCCGTTAGTTGGAAGCCGTAATGCCGTATAGGCGATGCGTGATACGTTTCTCGGCTCACGGGACAGTGTGGAATAAACCGAAGGTCGTCAAATCGGCTTTCCGCGGTTTGTTGAGTGTGTTTTTGTGGGTGGCTGTAGCCAACAGCACTCCTGATTCAACGAATGAAGATTTTGGTGTCTTTGCATGTACTATGTACTTTGCTTCATCTAAAATATCCAATTTTTGTAGGCGAATTGGATTAAGAAGTAGTATAATTTCATGGTTGGTTTTAGTAGCTGGGAATACCGTCTCGAGCGTAAAATAGGTGGTTTAGCAATTGCATCATCGGGTTGAATTTTTAGGGCTCTTTAAAAACCATGCATGGAACGTTACCGTCGGTTGCTACTTTTGGACGCGGTCACCCTCTGCTTTGGCTCGGCGCGCTACGCTGGTTCGCCGACGCGCACACGCACGCACGCCGCACGCGTGCCACCGCGCCGGCCAGGCATGCCGCTGGCTCCGCGCTGCGGTCCACTGCCCCCCGTTGTAACACCTCTGGTGTTACGAGCTCGTTTAGCACCGAAATTTAGGTCTAAGAAAAATTTCCGAAGCGAGTTTCTCGTATTTTTGATTTAAAACATACGTGAAGTGATAAGGGAATCATGTGTGACTCAGTTTTGTGGACTCAAATCAACGCTAAGTTAAATTACTCAGTGCGTAAAAGTATTTAAAAATGTCTGACAACAATTCTAGCAAAAAGATAGCGAACGGTTTGTTCTATTAGATTAAGCATAAAAATCAATTTTTATAAACAAAATAAAATATAGCTCGTATTTATGACTGGAATAAATCTAGAGCGCAAGTTTAATAGATGAAAATGCAACTCTTATTTTGGTAAGTAGAAGTTATTCAATAGTATATATGATAGCTCAGAAATCAAATCCGAGATTTAAACTAGAACTTTTCGTGAGTCGGCGAGAAATTGTATTTATGTTCGAAAGGTCAAGTTTGACGAATTATGTTAAGCAAAATAGTTCAATAGTGCTTAAGTATTTCGCTCCTAGGGGTTAGTATGCAGTATGGGCTAGGTCATGATATACTTGTTAGTTGAAATCGATAGGATTTAGATCTTTTGGTGTTGCCGACGATGTATCGCTGTTCACATCCGCGCCGCGTCGTCTCACGCGCAGGCAGGCGGCTAGCAGAGCCACGCGACGCCCATGTGTTCAGCTGCTGCCTGATCTCTCGCGTCCTTGCTGCTGCAGCTGCTGTCCTTGCCTCACTGCCGTCCTGGCCACTTGAATACGGTGGTGCGTCCCTCCTGCTCTGAATCAGTCTTTTGATTTATTCGCATCGCACCGCGTTGTTGAGTCGTCGTTTGCTTTTTCTTTTCTCTGCTTGCCTGTCCTGCTTTGTCCTTGCGGCCATGGTTTGTGGAGAAGAGCTTTTGTTAATGCAGCGGAGTCCGCATCCTGAACAAGTCCACCGCGCAGGGGCGTCTAAAAGGGAGCACGTGGTTCTGTCCCTGCCATGCCATGTGCTTTCACTTCAATGTGCGCGCGCTGGTGCGCCGCTACCGGCCACGCCGCGTCGTCCTGTCCAGCCCCCGCGTCCGTGCTCTGGCGTGCTAACGTTGTTTCCTCCCCCGCGCTGCCTCCTCCTCCCTTTTCTTCTCTGCTGCCGAAGGGAGGCGTCCCAACTCCTGCTCGCCATCCTAGCTTGCTCTCTCGCTCGGCTCCCTCCTCTGCTTGCCTCGCGCCGGCGTCGCCGTGCCATGCCAACCGTCCATCCGTCGCGAGCCCCACTGCTGCGCCACGGCGCCGTCCCTCTCTAGCGCCGCTCGACCTCCGTGCTCGACCACCGTGCTGTCGTGCACCACATCCCCGCTCCTCCGTGAGCACCGACGCCGCCTCCCCTGCTCCACTACGCGCCCGTGCCACAGCGCCCGGCCGAACCACGCCCTGCCCGTTGCCCCGTAGCACGCCATGGCCACGCCCGCCATTGCCCTGCTCCAGGTCTACTCACCGGTGTTGGTCCTCCCCCCCGCGCGAGTCCCCGGTCCGCTCTGGACCGCTGCCCTATCGTACGTTCGAGCTTGCGTTGCCCGCACCGCTCCCCTGCTTCCCCGCTCCTCCGTGTGTAGCACGGTGTTCCCTCCCCTTTTTCCTCGCGTGCGCGCGCAAGCCTGAGGTCCCATGCTGGACCGTAGCCCGCAGCGCTGCCCTCCCGCACCCCACGGTGGCCGCTTCCACCGCCTCCACCACGCGTGTGAGCGCGCCGTGCCATGTCGCCCGTCCACCGTCATCCGCGTCGGGCCAATCCTGCGGCTGATGCTCGCCGTGGGTGCCCCACCGACTGCGTCGGTTGTGCAGTTGCCACCCACGCATGCGGACAGAGCCGTCATTGCCTCACGCGCTGTGTCGGGGACCTAATATCGGGGTACCCAATGAGGTGGAATTAATAACCATCGAACGTTGACGCTTCCGGTCAGACAAGAACGCAACTATACTTCTTGCCCGAACGACGGAAGATTGGTTTCGCCTCGCCCAACCCCCGAGGGCTAGACTCCGCCTCGCCCGACCCCTAAGGGCTAGACTCCGCCTCACCCGACCCCCAAGGGCTAGACTCTGCCTCGCCCGATGGCTGAGGGCTGGCTCGCCTCGCTCGACGACTGAGGGCTGGCTCCGCCTTGCCCGACGTCTGAGTGCTGGCTCCGCCTCGCTTGACGGCTGAGGGCTGGCTCCGCCTCTCACGACGGCTAAGGGTTGGATCCGCCTCGCCCGATGGCCATGGGCAGGCTCTGCCTCGCCCAACGACTAGACCCTATTCCTTCATAAATACGAGCATAGGGTACGACAAGACATTTGAGTCAACCGTAGTACCGAGGGCCATGCCCTGCACGCCTGCAGGAAGGTACTGTCAGGATACGATGGGATGGGCGCTTTAGGCCCTCTTTGTCCTGACAGAGCCCAAACAGTGTTGTAGGCGCCGACTTTTGTCCCACAGTGTTGTGGGCGCCGCCAACAGCCCTCGGACGCAGATACTAACACGAGCATACGACAACCACTATGATCTAAGACAGAGCTCACATCATCTATAGTGATGAACGTATGGTCACTTCCCCGTCTACTCCCCGAAGGGTCACAGCTCGGCTCTCTGGCACGCCGCACCATCCATCGGTGTAGGATGGGACGCACCCACTTGCTGAAAGGGGCCAGGGCACGGCCCTATAAGGATCAATGAACACGCCATTCCTGACATGGTCTGCCGTGTTAGGAGGGCAGACACAGGGGAAAAGGAAGACCCGGCTCCCTCGAAAGACCTTCTCTACCTTTGGTTTTTCTCTCTTTCTCCCGTCTATAACCCCTGCTCCCCCCCTTGGTCTATAAAAGGGAGGGCAGGGCACCCCACTAAGGGGACCGATCGTTTTGGACACACAACACGTAGTCAAGCAGCAACCGAGCTCTTGGCGTCCTTTTGACTCTTCCATCAGAGACTTGGGACCTATCCCTCTCTCAACCATTTGTATCCCCTACTACTAACCTTTTTCGATACTAATAACATGAGCAGCAGTGGACTGGACGTAGGGACATTCTACCCGAACCAGTATAAACCTTGTGTCCTTTAGTACACCATCCGAGCCTAACGCGCAGCAATTATAAATTTACTAGCCGGTGTTTGTTCGAAACACCGACAGTTGGCGCGCCAAGTAGGGGCCTTTGCGCGTTCCAAATCAGGCCTCGGATGGCTAACCACGCAATCAGCTGGGTCCCGGGCGCACACGTGCGTTTCGGTGACCTAGACTTCATCGTCACGTTGAGAGGAGAGTTGGCGTTGGCTCATGTCGCCATCCAGTCTCTCCCCTCTATCGGCTCTAGCTATGGGAGGCTTGAGCGCCAGCCCGACGTCTCCCTCAGACCCCAGCCATCCAGGGAGGACTCGCGCCGCCTCACCCTCTCTCTGGAACACTCCGCACGGAGCGCCCGACGGCGCTTTCGTTCGGTCTCCGCAACGCCGTGGCGACCGTTAGCCACCTTGTGGCACAGCACACGATCCCGTCCCCCACGAACAATGAGTTCATGGGGATGATCGAAAGCATCACGGAATCCCTCCATGGCCTCCTCGTAGAAGGTCTAGGGTCAGACCCTAGCTCTGACTCCAGCAGAGGGAGCCATCACCCCTCCTAGGAATGTTTCATGGCGGAAACTCCCGAGGGACACGTCAAAAGCGTCTCCGCGGAGGAGACTACCCCGGCAGGCAACCTCGATGGCAGAACTAAAGGGGGACAGCGGCCCCACCTCACGTAGGGGTGGAGCAGCTGAGAGCCCAAAAGCGAGAAATAGATGAAGTCGAACAACAGCTTGTTCAGGAGTACGTAGAGGTCGATCAGGAGATCAAACGCCGAGGTGATGGTGGGCGCGCACAAGCCGTGGCCCGTGACGTGAACTAAAGGATCATCGCCGATGATGAAATCCTTCCTCACTTCGTTCGGGCAAGCCAGAACATCACCGCCACAACGGCCTTTATCCATGGCCTTCCAGAGGCCGCAACGCCCGAGGATCGACGGGTCCACTGTGAAATTCGCACGTTGCTTGAGCGTGCGACGGCACAGCAGGCGGAGAGCTCATTGTCTTAGTGATGCGAGCTCGACACCAGCCAGCACACGCCCTCGGTGCACCCCGCCAGGGATGCATCAGTCCACCAGGCACCACAAGGCAGCAGGCAGCGCGCTATGGCCCAGATACATCAGCGTCTTGGCCATAACCGCGACACGCGCAGCACCCTCAATGCTCATAGGTGTACCTACAGCGACCCAAGAGAAGGAGCCCGCCGCGGCTATCATCCTCATCGCGGAGGATGCTATGACAGCGGCGAGGACCGAAGCCCGAGCCCCGGCCTGCCAGGCCCTCAGGCCTTCGGCCGGCACATCCTCAACGTTGCATTCCTGCTAAGGTATCGACCACCTACCAATATCCCTAAG